CAAATGTAAAAAATAATACTTTACTTGACCAGTGTGGAGTAAATAGTCATCTGAGCCACAAACTAATGCCACAGATTTAGGCAAAAAAAATGTCCTTATTACCACAAATTACATTGCTCCTCCTCTACCGCACAGCTCCAATTTGAGTCCACACTCCTCCTGCTTTTACTGCAAAGTCACTGAGTGGTGGGTTCATTCCAGACACTTGAGCTGTGGGCGGGTGCACTGAGGACCCCTCTGGACTGGAATGTGTCCAGAGAAACTTTTGACCATGTAGGAGGGGCTGCACATGGTGTATGTCCCTCTCACTTCCAGGAACTCTCCATAATAACAACATGTTTTAAGCTTTGTTTGTTCAATACTTGTTGCTTAATGTGATAAAAGAACACCAATGGCTGATGGGGCACATTGCGGTGCTCTTTTACCTTGATAGAGATTATGGTATCATTTATCCATTCCATCACAGGACCTTACCAAATCGTGTTTACCTTTACCCACAATGTAAGAAATTAAAAAAGATCCCAGCCTTGTTGTTCAACACAGAAATCACATAAGCTGTTTTTGTCTGGTACAATGCCTCACACACGATCTTGTTAAATCTGGCAGCACAATAAAGATAAGATTGTTAAAGGGAAGGAGCTAGTGATATTGCATGTTTTTTGTGTGTTGACAAATCCCATGAAAAGATAAAAACCAACAATAAACTGATCCTACTAACATATTTTGTCTAAAGCCTCTGTGCCATAGAGCTCCATTGTTGTCCAAAAAGCTTTAAAATCAGTAACCCACATTGTTTCATTACCATAAACACATAGTTTTATTTAATTCCACATACCCCGTTTTGCTGCTGTACTGACTAATGCATCAAAATTTTATTATTCTATTGCTGACAATAGCCCCCATGAAATGTACTATTTACTTCAGGGAAACTAAATATTGAATGAAACAATATATCTCTGACCTGTTTTTAAAAATGTACTTTTGCAGTAGGGAAAATGGTCTTGAACTGACAGGCAGGTTAGAGAAGTCAACAAATACTTGGAGATGTCTGGTCTTGTCTTTTCATCGGATTTCTCCACCTTCGGGCAGAAGAAGGTGATTCACGGTGATCATAGTTGGTGTTTCAGTTTCAAATTGAGAAAGCATAACAAAAGAAATGTCATTTAACAACCTGATGATGAAGCTGCTCATATGCTAAAAATATAGGTGTAGTTTATTACATTTTCAGTCACAGTGGAAACATGTCTTTATCATCGACAAATTCAGAAGCAAAGATAAGTTATGGTTTTCTTCTTCCACCGCGAGGATGTCGTCACCTGTTTCCTCCACACATGCTGTAGCAGTCCGTCCCAGATTGTCACACCTTTCCAAATGTTCTTTGATTACTCACTTCTAGAAGCTCTAGCAAAGCAGAGAGTGGAAGTTTCTCAATGAGCCATGTTAACTGTATACTGCATGTGTGTGTGTATTGGGCACCTGAGGCAGAAGAGAGCAGGTTTGGCTAGATTTTTTTAACCATCTGGATGTGTCAAAGGGGACTTTTTGCCAACTAGCACTCTCTAACAAGTGTCTATAGCACATAGGCATCTGAAACCATAAGGTATACTGTTACACTTGTATAACAGAAAAAGGATTCCAGCTGATTTTGGATCTTGACCGAGAGTTGACCAGAGAAAAGCAGTTGGACAGAGAAAAAGAAAGACAAAAACATTTATCAGGATGTTTTTGGATGTGTTCTTGTAGTTTACTGGCAGGGCCTCTCTGACCAGTGTCAGTAAACTATGTTGTTTTGCTTCATGATACCCACACCCAAGATTACCTTCTAAAAATAGATATTATATTAGGTGAAGGAGGACACATTGGTATTTATTTTTGTTTAGTGTGAAGAGTAACATATTACCAGGAAAATCAGTGACAGCTCTGTAACTGTTCTTTTGTTCTGAACTAGTTAACCTAGATCTTCGCCAGTTTTTTTTCTCTCAGTGACAGTGATGTGTATAGTTTTCTGGGACAGGCCTGGAACAAGTTAAAGCTTGTCAGAGCATGGTGTAAAGGTGAGTGTTCCTGTGATGCCACTGGCACTGGAGTTCAACAGTGTCAGCTCTGTGTCAAACCATATGCTGGCATAATGGGGGGGGGGGGCAATTAAAAAGGGCACAGCAAGAGAAAGAGTATAGCTGAAATGAGCTCTCTGGTTTGGAGTGTTTGGAGAAAGGGCGTGTGTATAAAAGTCGAATCTTCTAGAAAAATCCTCAGCTCAGCAATGAGGGGGTGTAGTGAATCAGAGGGTTGCCTATGAAGTTCCAGCCATGAAGCTGGCAAGAATATTCTTCGGTGAATTATCTTTGAGCAAGATGTAGACTCCCTACCAGCTCCAAGAAGAAAGTAGCTCTTTGTTATTGTGTCACAAGATGGAGAGGATACAGTGAAGCTTACACAGAGGCAGGAAGCTGTGCAAACACTGAAATAAGTGCTTTAATAAACCCTCATTTTCTGTTTGGGACCCTCTTTAACATAAACACAATATAAAAATAGGTTTGCATCTCTTCAAGTTTGTTTAAAGCAATATTGATATTATAGTATGTTTATTTAAAAAGTAATTAGTCATTGTAACCTTTCCTCCTATCCATACTGGCTGTTGAGAAATCCCCTCTTGAAGCTATTTCAGACTATGAGGGACAAAATCCACATTCTACCGTCTGTGTAAAAATGCATTTTTAATGTTCAGCTGAAGACTGATGACTAGTGGACATTTTCCAAGGTTAAAATTACATTAATACTAGCCTCCCTTATTGTATTACTATCCATACTGCATCTGTCTGTGGAGGCACAAAGAACTAGTTTTGTTATTAAAAAAACATTGAGGCTTTGGAGGATGCTCACTTGATTTAGGTGAACACATCTTTTCAAACATGTTTTGGTTTATCACCTTAATAAATGTTCCTAATTTTCTGAGAACTGCTTACGAACATGGTTTTGAAATGACAAAATGTTTCAGAAGTCTGCTACAGAAAAACATTTCATTTCCCAGAGACTGGAGCTATAACATAAGACTGAAAACAATGGATTTTCAAATGTTCTGCATCTGTGAGGGATGTTGATAGTACTTTTATTGCAGCAGCATGATTCCAAAGTCCCAAGTAAGTGTGTTTGGCTTAATGCAAGTGGAGTTTTATAACAGATCTTTGAGAAAATATCTGACAGGGAGTTTGACCTCTCAGAGGATTAGAGTAACTGGCCCTAAAGATAAGTAAAGTCGCTGTAGGATCCATGAAGTATATATGTCTGTTTGCTCATAGACCATATAATATACTAAAAGAAAATGTTGTAATTGGTGCATATTGGGTTTTGATAGGTTCAGAAACAATAAAGGAAGAAAAAGATTGTACACATATAGCACTGGGATATTTATTAAAAGGTTTTTAAAACACATGTGCTATATGTGTGTGTGTATTATTTAAACCAGAGTCTCTAGACAATATGAAAACATATGACACAGCTTCATTCACTGTACACAAGGCTTCACATTATGGCTTATTTTTGTGGCCTTGTGGCAGTGCTGTCAGCTCAGCCTACTTCTGTCCTGTCTATATTTAGGCCTGAATAAAGCCCTGTTGGAAAGCTGTCCTACATTAAGTGTGCGCCTCCATCTCTGAATACCTGCCGGTGAACTTGCCTCACTCAACAGACACGTCTCCTTTCCTCATTCCTCTCTCTCTGTGTTACTTAGTCCATTCCAGTTCTGTTCTGTGAGGTTTTTCTGACATGACAGACAAGTAGAACAATTCAGTAACAAACTAGAAAAATGTGAATAAAAAACGGGGCTATTGTCCTTTGGAATGTTTTATTCCTTTGTCTGTTTCAAGTCTCTACCTTTTTGTATCTGTCACTGTCTGTAGCTGTCAGTCTGTCATCTCCTCACTGTCTGTATTTTCTCTGTTTCCTCCTCTGTCTCTGTCCTGGGCACCGCAGCAACAGGAGAGGTTGCTGTTTGCTTATACACTTGAGATATATTGTTTTTTATTTATTTGTTTGTTTCTCTTTATGGATGAATTCATTGGGTCATGGCCTAACAAATAGTTATAGTCAGCAAAACTGGCAATCATTCTTTGGTTCCAGCTGACTTATTTGTTCAGGGTTATATCATCCATCCATTATCTATACCGCGTATTCCTGAATAGGATCACAAGGGTGCTGGAGCCAATCCCAGCTGACATTGGGCAAGAGGCAGGGTACACCCTGGACAGGTCACCAGTCTGTCACAGGGCTGACATGCAGACAAACAACCACACACACACACACATACACAAACACCGACCCCTATGGGCAATTTAGAGACACCAGCCAACCTAAGCTGCATGTCTTTGGACTGTGGGAGAAAGCCGGAGCACCTGGACAGAACCCACACAAGCACGGGGAGAACATGCAAACTCTGCACAGAAAGGTCGTGAACCTTTGGACAAAACAGGGTTTTGTTTATGATCATGTTTAACTTAACTGTGAATTGCTGAATTATAAAAATAATCAATTCAAATAAGTAGTTGCACTCAATAATTGTGACAGCGGTTCCTTTCACCTTCATTTTGCTGGACTTTTCAAGCTTTAATAACTGCTAGCTGTCAGATGTCAACATCTGCCTCCTTATATCCATAAAAGCAGATGTTTCAGACGCTGTGTCCTGTACTCTGGATTATATCCTCTACTTAACAAACCATGCTGCCAGTTGACTTTGAC